TGTGAAAAGAGAACAACTTAATAGGGCATTGGAACCTGAGAAAAATTATGTTCAGTTAATATAGGTTTTGAATGTAAAAAACAAAAACTGAGGAATCTAGTTATATATGTTAATGAGTATTATAATGAATAAATCATTTATAAATTAAAGGCACTTTAATAGGATAATTAACATAAAACACAGATAAGTATTAAATATTTGACTTTCTACTCTAAAAGTAACCAATTTTATTTTAATAACTATTACATTTTAGAAGGAAAAAATATGACTTGAATTTATAATGGCACTTATAGGAGGATATATTATCAACATAAAAAAGCAAAATATACAATATATAGCAACAAATTCAGAAGATACATATTCAAATAAATTTAATAATTGTCAAAACTATATCAATTCTTAGAAAAAGTTTTTTTTTAAGACTCTGATAGCAAGAATAATATTGTATATGTCAGAGATTTAAAGTAATGAATAGGCTTAAAAGAATAAATATTTACTTACAATTAAGCTGCATGTTCGTCATGATCGTTAGACTATGAAGCACAAGGCACCATGTCCGGAGCAAGGTATTGGGATACCAGGCTAACACTGTGAGGAAACTAGTTATTGATGCTACGCAGAGAAAAGAAAGGAGAAAATTTCTACTTAGAAAAAGCAAATGTTTACTCAGAATTAAAAACAAACAGAATTCAAAAATATTCCTTTAAATCAACTCACTATCTAACGTCACTATACAAATGAAAGAGTTCCCCATTAAAAAGAACAAAAGCATTAAGCATCAATAACATTTTATGGCTAAGTATAAAGCTCAGCCATAAATTATCATTATAAATTTATTGTTTTTTCCAAACTACAGGCATTTCTACTGAAACAGAATTTGTGTTTTACTAAAAATCACCACATTCTGCAAAACACAAAATTGAAAATAATAAGGCTTATCAGAAATAAAGGATGGGGAAAACCAATGTAACTTCCCAACAAAGCACAAAGTAAAACAGTAGTAAAGTTGCTTGAAAGGCCCAGATAAGAAGCACCTGTAACAGCTGGAGAAGCCAAAATAGTTATTCAAAATGCACAAACATAATAGAGTGCCTAGAGTATGCTCTTAAAACACCCTGTAAAAATGGATCATTCCAGACCTCAGGAAGGAAATGCAGAGTCGGGGGCATCTCTTATACTAAAAGTTAACAGAAACAGAATCGTTTCTTTTTTTTTAAATCACACCCCTCTACCCCCAGAAAATAACTGAAAAAGGAGTCTCTTACGGGCCATAACTGGCACAATATCAGCATCAATAAGAATTATAATTGTTACTTTCACAATATAGAATTTTAAAAATTTTTAACGTAATTAAAAAAATAAAGTACGTATGACCTTTTCTGTAAATAAAAAAAGATGAGAACTGTAACAGAAGCATAAAAAAAATGTTTAAGTCCATAAACTCATACAGATATTTATTAAAGAAACTTATAGCTTATGAATATAGACTATCTGTGAACCAGTTCATTTTTAAAACTAATTCTATAAAAGAAAAAAATTTCTAGCATTTTTCCTGCCTTTTTTTATACAAACTATAACATCAAAAGGTGACATAATAGCATATAAAAGGAAGTTTCTCTTTCTGGGAGTATTTCAGCTAATAAATAAAGAAGGAATAACAGACTTAGACAATGTTCATTTTGAAACATCTAGTGAATTATTATTAATGACTATAAGCATTAAACATCAATACTTGTTATAAAGACAGACAACCTATAAAATGCCTTCAAAACCTCAAATCAGATCAAGCTTCAATTTATTACAATTTATAATAACTACCAATTTACAGGAAGTACAGAGGACATAGTGGAGATACAGTCACAAAGAAACAGGACCCAGGAGTCTTGGGAAACTTATAACCATATTTCTTTGACAAATGACTTTATAAGGGGATAAAAAAGACACAGAGGAAACCTACTGAGATTAAAAGGAAGAAACATAATTAACTACAATGTGTAGACCTATTTTAGATCTGAATTCAAATTATAAAAAATTATAAAAGTTGAGACAACTGTCAGTTTGAATACTAACCAGATATGTGATGATAGTAAGGAGTCATTACTTCCCCATCTACTCTTATTTAATATTTTTCACAATAACAAAGTTTAAAAGAGATGAGAGCAAAATTTATAATAATTACTAATGCAAGGAAAAGATGAAAGCTTAATAATGTCAGGCTGGTCTTGCTGAAACAATGCAAACATATGTGGGACCATGACCCAGTGTGGCTGTCAGTAAGGCTGAAAAACAGGTCATGTGAGAGCCATGTAAGATACAGGATACCCCTTCACAGGGAGAAAGCACCAGAAATAGATCATTTTCACTTTTCTTAAATTCTTATAGCCAGATATAAAGGCTAGTTCTATTCCTGTTGAAGATATTATTCTAGTTTCCACATTCTTGCATATGCCAAGAAAAAATGAACACAACTTCTATGGCAAATTAATAATATTCTTCTCCAACTTACCAATTCCCCTAAAAGCAAATCAAGATAACACTTTACGGAAATCCAATGTAAAGATTCATGGAACATTGTCAATTTCAGTTGCACACAGGCAAAAAATAATACAGACAAGAGAATATAAAGGTCTTTTGTTCTTTCCTGCTAATTATTAAGTCAGTGTATAAAAATTTTTTTCTTTCACTAAAACATTATAACTGCCCTGGAAGGATTGGCTCAGTGGATAGAGCGTAAGCCTGCAAACCAAAAGGTCCCAGGTTTGATTCCTGTCAAGGGCACATGCCCGGGTTGTGGGCTCGATCCCCGGTGGGAAACTTGCAGGAGGCAGCCAATCCATGATTCTCTCTCATCATGGATCTATCTCTCTCTCCCTCTTCTTTCCTCTCTGAAATCAATAAAAATATAAAAATATCTTTTTTAAAAAAAGAAAACATTATAACCCTTATGACAAAGTTTAAGTACATATTAACCTAATCATTACCTTTTAAGCTTATAATTTATGCTATGAGAATAATTTTCCTAATAATAAATATTACCTTGATTTAATGAAATGACAGGTATTCGATTAGCATTATATAAAAAAATTTCTGCTCCATTCTCTTTGTTTCCAGATGAACTAGAATTCAGGCTCAATGTGAGCCACAATTGGAGAAGTGATTCCAACTGAAAAAGAGTAAAAATTGAAAGAAAAAAGTACCTGTTATATTATGAAATACTATTTAAACAAATTCTTCTGTATGAATACTTATGATTAAGTCTAAATAATTTTTCTATTAAATACTTTGGTTACTTCAATTTAGTTGACAAGCAATCTTAAAATTCTTGATGAATCAAAACGTAAGTGAATTAAAATATATAATTTACCTAATATAAAATTATAATTTACCTAATAGAAATACTTTCCTAACTTAAAAGTTGATTCAAGTGTTTAAATACAAGTGTATTTAAACTATAATATATACAGTTGACCCTTGAATAGCATGAGTTTGAACTACACAGAACTACTTACATGCAGACTTTTTCAATAAATATGTAAACGTAGTTTCTCTTCCTTAAGATTTTCTTAGTAACACTTTCTTTTCTCTAGCTTATTTTATTGTAAGAATACAATTGACTGTTATCAGTAAGGCCTCTGGTCAACATAAGGCAATTCATAGTTTAAACTGGGGTAGTCTAAAGTTAAATGTGATTTTCAGTTGTGAGGGCGGTCAGAGCCCTTAACCTCTGTGTTTTTCAAGAGTCAACTGTAGTGGGATCTAATCAATAAAACTTAGAATCATAAAAAATATATATAACCTATTACTGAAGAGCTGTGGTTATCAAAGCATCTCCAATATTTTTCCAGCTGAGCGTAATAAAGAAATCATCCCTGTTAGGTTGAGAATGCTCTCCCCAGTCATTTTCATCTCATATCAGGCTGTTAATAATGTCTAAAAATGCATCATTTCTCCTGAAGTCATACCTGAACATGATGGACTTGAAGCATGGAAAAAAGTTTGTTGAAACAAACATTTAACATTGGGACAGATGATAACTGTATAATAAGTTGGTTGGATTGGTTCGCTGCTTGTAAACCCCCTAGAAGTGAATCATCTGTTCCAGTGGGAGACTGTGATACTGAAAATTAAACACAATTATGATTTTATACACAAATCAGGAGAACTGCTAACTAGCTATTATTATGTATAGGTAACTAATGGTCGTGGGTTTGTTTGTTTGTTTTAATTTAAAACTGTATTCTTTAAAATGATTGTTATTATTTGAAAACTTGTTTTTACCACATTATTTGAAAGTCAAAAAGGACAATCAACAGAGAAACTCCCAAATCACAGGATTTGTCCACCAAAGGAAAGAAACTTTTTTGCACTTTACTCTCCAGCAATTTTTAAATTTTTTCCTAATTAATAAGAGGAAAAGAAAAGGGAGAGGAAGAAGAATCTCGACTAATTCTTAAGAAGGTAGTTTTAGAATAATCTAGACCAGGGGTGGGCAAACTTTTTGACTCGAGGGCCACAATGGGTTCTTAAACTGGACCGGAGGGCCGGAACTAAAGCATGGATGGAGTGTTTGTGTGAACTAATATAAATTCAAAGTAAACATCATTACATAAAAGGGTACGGTCTTTTTTGTTTTTAGTTTTATTCATTTCAAACAGGCCGGATCTGGCCCGCGGGCTGTAGTTTGCCCACGGCTGATCTAGACTCTAGTCTATTGACTGTTTTTTCTTTCTCTTCTTTCTTCCACCCCACCCACCCACGAGTGTCTAGGACAGTGATGGCAAACCTTTTGAGCTCGGTGTGTCAGCATTTTGAAAAACCCTAACTTAACTCTGGTGCCATGTCACATATAGAAATTTTTTGATATTTGCAACCATAGTAAAACAAAGACTTATATTTTTGATATTTATTTTATATATTTAAATGCCATTTAACAAAGAAAAATCAACCAAAAAAATGAGTTCACATGTCACCTCTGACATGCATGTCATAGGTTCGCCATCGCTGGTCTAGAAGTTCCCATGGCATGAGCCCACTGGTGCTGTGCTCTCTTCTCCAGGAGGTTTCTAGGGTGCTCTGGTCCACAAGTAAACCCTGGCAGGCCACAGGCTGGCCAGCAGGGATTAGAATGGACAATCTAGTCAATTGATTCTTAACCCTGAAGCATCTAAAAATCCTGATGCCAAGCCACACATCAAACTAATTAAATAAATATAATTCATGAGGAGCGCGAAATATAGGGACTCTAAGAGCAGTTCTTCATATATTTAGAAAGTTATTATATTAAAAGGGAGGGGGGAAACAAAGGGGAGGACACAGTTCTGCACATGACAATAATCAAAAGACAATTGAGAAGCTGATACCAATTACAAAACGATCTTCTAATAAATGTTTTTGTGTGTTTTTTTAAATGGCTAACAAAGAAAAGCACTATTTTGGACAGTATTGAGCTGTGGTGATGGAAAGGCTGACCAAACAAAAGAGATCCCCATTATTACATAGGAGACAGTGTACAACAATATTAGAATACCAAAACTAAGAGTACAGAATAGCATCTTCTCTTTTTTTCTGTATCTCCTAAGAAATAAATGAAGTTTGCAATGAAAGAATTTAACTTAACACAGAGAGAACTAAAAAACCCAAAGCTTTTATGAAAATGAACTGTGAACTCCCTTTGACTGAAGGAACATGATGCTCTCCCTAGCTTCTAACTGCTATGACCAGCCCGTTGCCACCATATCACAGAGCAGGTGAAGTGATTCGTAGGCCTACATGGGTGGGGGGAACCATTATCATCTTCTCAGTACTTCTCCTTGATCTTTGCCTTTGAGAGATAGGCTGTTATCTAAAATGTACTCACCTGAGAGGAGCAGATCTACCCAAGTCTAGCATTTTACATCAAGGGTCAGCAAACCGTGACCTGTCAGCTAAATCTGGCAGGCCACCTGATTCTGTAACAGCCATGCCCATTCATTTTCATATTGTTATTGTCTATGGCTGCTTTATTGCTAAAAAGTCAGAGTTGTGTAGTTACAATGCCCACTATATGGCTCACAAATCCTAAAATATTTAACATCTTGTCCCTTATTATAAAAAATTTGATTCCTTTGCTATAATTAGGTAGTAAATCCTTTTAATTCTGCAGTTCAATTAGGCCCATTTGACTATCATCCTTACCCAGGTCTTCCATCCTAATCTTTAAGGATAATAAAGATGTTAGTAATACAAAAGCCATTTTTATTAATGATTTAAATATAATGCAATAAACTCACAGATAGCTAGCTAACAGCCTTCCCTAGGAATTTACTTAACCTCACAAGACAATAACAAAAACATGACTCTGGTTTCTGAGTTGAATTTAAGAGCACTACATGGAGATATTTTGGTCCCCTCCACTCTCCCATCTTGTTAATCCTTTGTCTTATTTCTCAACTTCCTACTAATTTGGCAAGGGAAGTGCTATATCAGTGATGGCGAACCTTTTGAGCTCGGCATGTCAGCATTTTGAAAAACCCTAACTTAACTCTGTTGCCTTGTCACATATAGAAATTTTGTGATATTTGCAACCATAGTAAAACAAAGACTTATATTTTTCATATTTATTTTATATATTTAAATGCCATTTAACAAAGAAAAATCAACCAAAAAAATGAGTTCGCGTGTCACCTCTGACACGCATGTCATAGGTTCGCCATCACTGTGCTATGTATTTAACCCATTCAGACTCACATCAGACATCAAATTTAGAAATTTGTCCTTGCTGGCTACACCTGAAAATAATCAGCAGGTTAATCATTTTTGCAATACTCTAAGAATGACGATTTTTACTTACATGTAGGAGATGTATTTGTTAATGCCTGCAAAATGGAATCTGCTTCCAAGGTAGACATCATTTTCAACATCAGTTCTGCTTGCTGTTCAAGTCCAACTTCTAGACGAGCATCTAGGGCTAAAAAACAAACAAACAAAAAAAACAATGAAAATATATTTTTTTTTAATGTCCTACTTCCTACAATAAAATGTTGACATCCAAACAGAAAACTGGGTGGGATATGTGTCCTCATGTAAGAACAACCAGGCATGGGGTTATCAGAGCCATAGCAGGTAATAATACCTGTACAAAGAAGTCCAGAGATGGAAAGGTGAATAAGTAGAATGAGGTGGATCAAATAAGTGAAGTAATAGTAATGAAATGAATACGTTAAAGATACTGAGAACCAGATTCCTCACTGTCAGAAAAAAGATACAACTATGCAAATGGGGACTACTAAAATGAAGCCTATGAAGTTGGATTAGTTAGATTAAGTGTTGTATCAGTGTGAGCTCATGGCATTCTAGATAGACATAGAAATGAATACAAATGCAAATGTGTATAGACACATACACACTCTGCTACATTTGTCCACCAAGAGGGCATGGCCATCAAAAGAACAATAAGGCCGAACCGGTTTGGCTCAGTGGATAGAGCGTCAGCCTGCAGACTGAAGGGTCCCAGGTTCGATTCCGGTCAAGGGCATGTACCTTGGTTGTGGGCACATCCCCAGTGGGGGGCGTGAAGGAGGCAGCTGATCGATCTCTCTCATCGATGTTTCTAGCTCTCTGTCCCTCTCCCTTCTTCTCTGTGAAAAATCAATAAAATATTTAAAAAAAAAAAAAAAAAAAAAGAACAATAAGTAGCCCAGCCAATGTAGCTCAGTGGTTGAGCATCAACCTATGATTCCTGCTCCAGGCACATGCCTGGGTTGCAGGTTCGAGCCCCAGTAGGGGGTCTATCTACCAATCAAATTTTGTTTTTTTAATCACAATTTATCCTCTAAAATGTTTTGACATCGCTTTGCCTTATTAAAATGTCTAATTCTCAATCTTGGGAAGAGAAAGTAAATAATCAGCCTTGGCATCTTGCTGCGCCAGAAAACAAGGAAGTGCTCAAAGAAGATGAGAACATGACAAAAATACAAGAGACCAGCTTGGAAAAGATCCCACTGGTCAAATCCGGCACTTTTTGAACATCAAAATAAATAAGGATAACACTAACAATGGACTTACTGCAACAGAACTGCACACTTAAAAAGGCTAAAACAGCAAACTTTGTTATTTATATATTATCTCAATAAAAACAAACAAGTAAATAATGATAACAGTGAATTATAATCCATTGAGTAAAACAGCAAACCAAGGGTCTATTCAAACTAAATGAATAAACATGTAATTTTTTTTTTTAAAGAATAGTTTCCAAGAACCCCTCTGCCACCACTTCTAAACCAGTAAAATCTTTGACTTGGGGAAAAGAATAACTTTACAATGGAGAAGATAGGCAAACACCTCCTTAATGAAGTAAATAAACTTAAAATTGCAGTAGTGGGACAAATTAAAATTATGAGCCACCTAATAGGATGCAATAAGAAAACCTGAGCATTACATTTTCATGATATTTCTGTCAAAAATGCATGACTACAATCTAGTCATGAGGAAATAGCATACAAACCCAAACTGGAAGACATTCTATAAAGTAATTAGAATGTTATTTTCAAAAGTATCAAGATCACGAAAGTTAAACCGTGGCATACTGAATGAAACTGAAGAGATAAATGTACTGCAAGTTTTTGCACTAAATTCTTTTGCATTGAAGGACATTATGTAGACACAACTGCCGAAACTTGAATGAGGTCTGAACATTAGTTAATATTAATGTTAATTTCCTGATTATGATGAAACGTGCCTTCTGATGTGTTTATGTAGAAGAATGACCTACTTTGAAAAATATATAAAAAAAATAAAAATAATATCAGATTAGCAACTTACACCTAATGGATCAAGACAACATATGTTCTCTGTATTATACTTGTAACTCTCTAATAAATGTATGATTGATTCAAAATGTAAAAAAAAAATGATATATTTTATGTGACTAGAAGAGTGCCAAAATAATATTCAAAATAGTTTTATTCTGTTGACAAATATAAAAGTTTATTATTAACATTAAAAAATAAAAGCAAATTTACTGAAAATCACTGACAAACACAATTACAAATATATTTTGCTATTTTGTTAAGTGTTATTTTGAGGAGAGGAAATTTGGACCATAAATGGAAGCTCCTCAAAACTTACTGACAGAAACACACAGCTCTGAATGTCACTCTCATGGCACACCTGTGATATTAAACCCTGCTAGAACACACTCGGGCTCAATTTCTCAAGAGGGAAAATATAAATTTAGGACTTATTTCCAAGAACAGCATATGTCTTAAGATATAAACACACACTTACCCTGAGACACTGACACACTGACTGTTTGTGATCCATTCTTCTCTGTATTTGCAGGTGGCTTTGCTACAGGAATTCCAAGACCTCCAATGTAAGGGTTGTAGTTGTAGGTGCCATAATCAGCGCCCCAATAATCATACCATGTACTGCTTATTGGCTTAAACAAATGGAAAACAACTGCAGTTTATTTTTGCCTCTTCAGAAGGAGTGACATTATTATGTACATTATCTAAACTCACACAGGGTTACAAAATAATCATCCTACCTTTTAAATTCCCCAAGACATAAATATAATCCTAATGATGTAGAGGAATGGTTCAGTAATATTCTCTTCTTTTTATACAAAATATTAAAAATAGCTTATTTAAAACCTGAGGGATAACTATCGTTAATAACATCTCTTACACACAAAAAGGATACTATCCTTAATAAAATCTCTTACACACAAAAAGAATAAATATAAAGTATTAGGCATGTATCTCCTTTAGAAAAGTTAAGACTAACACAGAAGTAAAATCTGCAATGAATTCAGCTTGGATCAGATTAAATGCTGCTTGAAATGTTTATAATCCACAAATATACTTCCCCATGCTTATTAGTGGTTCTTACATGAGATAATATTAGTGGATATTAACAAAATGGTGTAAGTTTTCCTTACACTATTCATTTCGTATACTATAGTACCTATACAGCAATTTAAAAGATTTTGAGTACATTAAATCATGGGTCAATTTGGTAATAAATATGTACACTTTCCTCTGTTGAGTAATGAATAAACCAAAAGAGTAAGATGAAAGGTTTTATTTGCAAAGAATACTATTTTGTATCATACCTTAAAAACTTTGGCTGCAAGAGGATCCTTTTCCAAATCA